AAAATATAACGAAATAACATCGCTTAACATAATTTCGATTGAATTTTTTTGATGGCGCGCGATTTTGGCACTTATATCGATTGAAGGAAGCACCTTTATTTGTCCTTGGTTTTTAAATAAATTTGGACGTATTACTTGATTTAAATAACGAACATTCGTTTTTGAAGGTGACCATAATTCTCTGTATACCGTATACTTACTGTATACCGACGATTCTGATGCAGCTTTTTATTGCTTAGATGTGTGGACGAGCTCACAGCCCACCTGGTGTTAAGTGGTTACTGGAGCCCATAGACATCTATAACGTAAATGCGCCAACCACCTAGAGATATAAGTTCTAAGGTCTCAGTATAGTTACAACGGCTGCCCCACCCTTCAAACTGAAACGCAAAATTACGCAAATTACAATTTTGCGGGTTTTTTTTTTATTACACGGTGTTATTCCTTCACCGTGGAAGTCAATCGTGAACATTTGTTAAGTACGTATTTCATTAGAACAATTGGTACCTGCCTGCGGGATTCGAACACCGATGCATCTCTAGATACGAATGCACCGGACGTCTTATCCTTTAGGCCACGACGACTTCGAACACGAATTATGGTAAGAGGATTTCCCGTGACGTCATTAAATAAGAATACATATAGATATTTCTCTCTTCTTCTTCTCAGCCGTACACTCCTGGCGTAGTGGTCGTAATTATGTATGTCTTATTTAGAGATATCCATAACTCTCATGCGAAAATATTAGCAGTGGTTTCCCGTTGCCTTCTGCTCAGGTACTTTTACAGATTATTTGGACCTCAAGACAGCTGTAGCTTCTACTCTAGGTAGGTGTCTGGTTATACCGCTACTTGCTCGGTCGCCAGAGCCTCGTTGGCGATCTAGCAGGAAGTACCATGGAAGCCGATTGTCTTCTGCCGACATCCAGCGCGCGCAGTGAGGTTGGCATTTAGGACGGCAGAGACGTTGATTACCGTTCCCTTACTCCCCTACATTTCTCTCAGATGCTCTCAAAATCTGGATAAATTCGAAACCTTATTGATATGGCATGCGTGCGGGTAGATACCACCGCTCTGCCTATTACTGTCGCGAAGCAAGCACGGGTTCCAGTTTGAAGACTGTAATAGCTGCTTTACTGTACAGATTTAGATCTCAACCAAGTGGGTGGTAGCATTCACGTCTCTAAGTCCATGACCTCAAATAAAGCATACGTCTAGTGCGTTTAGAATACTTAATAAACCGGTAGATTGTGTAATCCAAATTTTCAGACGTTATTTTAGTGTAGGTATTATTTTATTTTTCGAACGAATCCACGGACTGTATATACGTATATTTTATGGCTATGTATATAGATAGATACATAAGAAGCGAACGTATCGTGCAGTACAGATTTCACGACAAAAAAAAAACGTTTTATACAGAAAAAGTTTAAGGAAAAAATCGTACCAGCGGCCCGGCCCGCCTAGCCTGCCGCATGTCAGGCGAAACGTTAGACTACACACGATAACTCGCTTCGACGGATTTATCTCGGGATAGCAATTTAAAATTCTCGCGATACAATCATGACGTGTTTTCCAAATGCAACTTTGCCTTTTTAACCGACTTCAAAAAAAGAGGAGGTTGTCAATTCGACTGTATGTTTTTTTTAATGTTTGTTACCTCATAGCTTTTGACTCGGTGAATCGATTTTGATTATTCTTCTTTTATTAGAAAGCTGACGCTTCCCGTGTGGTCCCATTTAGTCCAGCTCTGATAACAGCATCCATGAGAACCACAAAACACCAGATGGGCCGCAAGCTCATAGAAACTCATAGATAGATCTAAGCAATAAATAAAGGAACCAAAAATCGAATAACAAACCGACGAGAATACGGTACCTTTTTATTTGGTCTTTGTCTATAGTAACTATACATGTGTATGTCTCTTTAAATTGGCTAAGGGCCAGGGTGTGGCTATGCATAAACCGAAGCTCATAGTTAAAATAACATTCATTCGGTCGTTGACCTGCCGCTGTATCTCAATAAGATGGAAGACTCAATGGAAATCGAATAAAAACTATTTTATCGTTCAAAATGTCTTACCATCGAAAATTGGCAGAATCATAGGTATTCTAGGCAAACAATAGTTTTCTTTTGCCTTTAGAGACAGATCGTACATGAAGTTTTCTTTTGCCTTTGGAGACAGATCGTACCCGACCCCACATGTCAGTGAGCTCAGGGACAACAACAACGCCAGGACACAAACAAACCGCTACCTACTAAACTGCACAACATTTTCGATTGATATTACATCCAATTCTTCCTCGTAGGAGACATTCATAAGCTAGTACTAGAAATAAATAGTGAAGTTTTCTCTCAAAATTTTATGCGCGATACCACACCACACGACTACAACAGTCGGAAGTCTTGACGGTAACTCACCGAAATAAAATTCCACAGTAATAAAATTAAATAATAGTTTAAAAAAACATGTTTTGATAATATCCTGAAAAGCACCCCACGCTTTTTTTATAATAAAAACATTTTTTTCTAACACTATTTTAATTGAAATTTATTAGAATTTATTTTCAATTTTTTAGTTGAATTTCAATTTTTTCAATATTTTTCTTAAAATTTTTTTAAATATTGAATTGTATACCAAATTTCGACTTAATCCGACGTTTTGAAGGGGGTCAAAATAATGTTCAAAGATTCCGTTATATAATAACATACGTACGTCTGAAGCTAATAAAAGCGTATTAAAAATATCTTGAGATTTTATTATCTTAACACATTATTGCCGTGTGTACACGTAACTTTGTTGCATGCCGTCGCACTCGGGTACCTTCTGTCAAGTCACAACAAACTTAATAATGCATGTCGGAAAAACGTGAGCCCTTATAAAACCACGCATTTCTACCCTGAAACAACAGCAAACGTAACTTTGTATAAACAACGTCCCACAAACATGACACGCGAAGTCGTTATACCCAATAATAAGCTTTGCTCCATTGAGATAAGAGGCATAAAATTAAAGCAGATTTGTATTGATAAATTCAGAATTATGCTTTAAGAAATTAAACACAGTCGGATCGACTTAAAATACATTTTTGATTGAGCGTCGATTGTTTTTGTTTGCGAAGTGAATTTTAATACTTAGAAATTTTATACACTACGAACTAGGCATTTTCTTTGGCGATTTGTATTAAACTTTAGTGTAGACATTTTAGTGGAAGTTTAACACACGATGGAAGTACATATTTGTTTTATAAGCCGTAAGTAAACCTCTTTTTTTTTCCCTACCTATGCTGATAGCCTTGAGAGGCTATTTCAGCTTCACCCTAACGTTTGTAGGTGAGCTCGCGGGGCTCAACCGGAGAGTTGCTAACACTGACCCTAGCAAGAGCAGTGCTTGGCAGAATCTACCACCGGATCGGAAACGCGACCCACTGAGAAGATCCGGCGAGAAACTCAGTGGGCTGTGTCTATGGGTTAGTTCGCTCGTCGAGCCTAAACCTCAGTATTTCGTATGGTTTGAAATCGCTGAACTATTGAATTCGCTATGAATGTTATTCTTTTTGTTCTATTCTTGGAATGTAAAGACCCCTGGTGGTCCGAAGGGTTTCCAGCTTCGCCACGATAGGTGAGCGAGCACGGGCTCAGTCAGGAGTGATGGAATTTGTAATCTGCCGCCCGAGCGCTAAAGGTAGCTGCTTCGCGATTGCATCTACTACCGAATCGGAATCGCGACCCGCTGAGAAAATCGGGCACGTAACGCAGCGGACTGATGTATAGGTTCTAACGTCCAACTCTTCAAGGTGGTGGTATCTACACGTGCCCGAAAACACCAATAATCTTAACTATATTAAAACTAGTCAGGCCGTGATCAAATCTTTCCATTTGGTGCAATAAAAAATAAAATAAAAAATAAACAAATAATATTCGCATCGCATCGCATTTTAAAACGCAAAAAACTTGTAAAGTTGTTAAAATCGTTCGTGAGCAGGTGTCTCGTATCAATTCGTTGGCATTAACCTAATTTAGGGATATTTTTAAGCTCACTTCGCGTTATTATATGTTCAAACCCACGATGTCTTCCTTTAAATGGGACACAAATATCTATATATTAATACGTGAAGCAAAAACTTTGTATCCCTTTTTACGAAAATTGAGCGGACGGAGGAGTATGAAATTTTGCACACTTATAGAGAATATAGAGAAGAAGTGCACAATGCTAATATTTTTTTAAAATCAGAATCAGTATAGTTACAACGGCTACCCAGCCCTTCAAACCGAAACGCATTACTGCTTCACGGCAGAAATAGGCAGGGTGGTGGTACCTACCCGCGCGGACTCACAAGAGGTCCTACCACCAGTAATTACGCAAATTATAATTTTGCGGGTTTGATTTTTATCACACGATGTCATTCCTTCACAGTGGAAGTCAATCGTGAACATTTGTTGAGTACGTATTTCATTAGAAAAATTGGTACCCGCCTGGGGGATTCGAACACCGGTGCATCGCTCAACACGAATGCACCGGACGTCTTTATCCTTTAGGCCACGATGACTTCAAACTATCTTCAAACTTCTTACTATCAATCTTCTATCTTTTGGGCCACAGACGTCCTTTGCCCGAGATAGACCACTCCCTAGCCTCGCCCAACTTTGGCCAACTTTGCCTGCTTCCAGCAGATCCCCGCGAACCTCAATAGATCATTGGCCCATCTTGCGGAAGCTTACCTACACTCTGGTGACCCCGACGTGATTTGAACACGCAACCTTCTGATATTATTATTGGTGGTAGGACGTCTTGTGAGTGCTCTCTTACTCTATAAGCGATTAGAAGTAATATTCTTTAATACACGAAGTCTGAAAGCCTGGTATTACAATAGCTGTTGGCTAATCAAGAGATTCGGCTTACGGTTCCGTTATTACTAAGGGGGGTTATATCTATTACAAATGAAAGATTCTAGAAAATACTAAGGTTTATTAATAATATGTTTTATTTATACATTCAGTTTAACTGTAAATAGTCTTCAGCAGAGCGAAGTACGACCATGATCTGCTCAGTATCTGAAATTATAACAAAACGTCTGTTTAGAACTCTGTCTCTCTGTGAACAACATATCGTCTTTTCGCATTAAAAGTGTACAATTTCCAAAAATATTCGAAATTGAATTAATATGCAGAATCATTTGGTATCGCCAGTATTTTTCTCATAAATACTGTCAAAAGAGCGTAGTTTAGTTTATTTTTTTGATTTACCTATATTTTGACTACTATTAACAAAATTAATACATAATTTTATTTTACTTTAAAAGACAGATAATGTAACTGGTAAAAAATTAAAAATGAATGTTGCAAAGATGATTAATATTAAAAATATCACATGTTAAACTTGTAAAAAATGTTTTTCATGATTGACGGATTACTGGTGGTCCGAAGTCCTCTCCAGTTTTACCAGGACAGGTGGGCAAGCGAAGGCTCTGCCAACTTCCGGATCGAAATCGCGACCCTCTGAGAAGATCCGGCGAGAAACTCAGCGGGCTGATGCATGGGTTAGGTTACACGCCGAACTCTTTGCCGAGTTCGACAAGTACGGTTACCGGGGTCCCTAAGCCTGCCCTAACTGTTAGAGCTGAAGGCATCTAATGCAAGAGCTATTGGATCTGATAGATCCGTGAAATAATCCATTATTGATCATGGAAATCTTGAACTTTATTTCATTCATCACAATATATAACCCTGACCCAATTTCCAGTCATTAGATGCATCGCAGACAATGGCATTAAATAAGGTTTATTTTAAAAGAAATATATCACACCCCCCCACCCCCCTCCCCCCGCGCAAATAACGAGATATCAGATTGTGTACTGCACTAAACTTCAAAACCTCACTCGGAGATATTAGACCGATATAAAATGATGTTATAAACAAAAAATTGACTACTAAGTTTATAGAGTTTGTCGAAGAAGTTGAAAGTTAAAAAAAATTTATGCTGTGTGTTTTTGTTACGTAAGCAATTTTTTTAAAGTACATATTTTGATTAATTTTTTTCAAACTCACTCAAACGCCTTGAATGTATGGATGCATAGTTCATTTAAAAAAAACATATAATAAACAAGAATAATTATTTAAAAAAAACCTAGAATATCAAACAACTAAGGTAAACGTGGTTACGCAAGGAATGTCGTCAGATTCTAAATATAGACTGACCGTTAGACTCGGATCGTGTCAGAACACAACAGATACGGACTAGGTATTCAATGGACTAGTTTATACATTTATTAACTAAGTATTATAATTTCGAAACTCCTCATCTGAGCTTGAAGTAAATAAATAAAACTAGCGTTACGTATTTAATGTAAACTTTTTTTTATTGCCTAGAAGGGTGGACGAGCTCACAGCCCACCTGGGGTTAAGTGGTTACTGATAACCACCTTGAGATATAAGTTCTAAGATCTCAGTACAGTTACAACGGCTGCCCCACCCTTCAGACCGAAACGCATTACTGCTTCACGGCAGAAATAGGCAGTGCGGTGGTACCTACCCGCGCGGACTCACAAGAGGTCCTACCACTAGTAAAAACACGAACTAAAATACGAATTCGTTTAACTGATATCTATTTTTGAGATTCGGTAATATTACCTGATATTGGTGTAGAACATTTTCGTATCTATCGAAAATCCTTTCACCGTCCAAATTTATATCAAATATGGAGTAATATCGTTACAAAACTATACTATTAACAGCTCAAGTTGGTTAACGTATTTTCAATGAAATAACTTACTTAAAATACATCGCCAGCGTTCATATTAACATTAAAACTAACTTCAGACTTCGAAATTAAATACTCAAGCTACTAAATATTTACTCATTGCATCAAACAAACACAAAATAACAGCAATTAATAATTTTGGTCGAAAAGTATCACAGTAACAGATAGTAACAGATAATATCTACTAGGTATTTCATACTAAGCACACGCATACTAACCGTCGTGAACACTCTCAAATTGATGTCAGCGAAGCTCGCGGCCGAGAGCTTGCAAGGTTTCTGAGCCCTGCATATACATATTACATTATTTAATAAATACATAAAATAAAACTATCAGACTCTTCAAAAGAGGTACTAGTTACTCACAACTTGCTTTATGAGCCTTTGTCGCAAAAAGTGGGTAGTTGGGTAAATTTTTTCCGGTATAGATAAACGAGCATCCCAGGTAGCTGATGGTGAGCATCGATGAATGGATGTCAGTAATGCCATAGGCAGAGCCAAGCCACTGCGTACCGTTAAGTTTGAAGAACACTCAAGCCTCATTTCAGCAAATTCAGCACTTTGTCTTGTTTGGTCGTGCGCACATGGTTTAGGTTGCAAGCCAGATTTTGTTTCTTTTTACCTGTGTTTTTATGTATCTTTTTAGTTTGTGATGTGTATTGTGTGCCTAATAAATAAAATCTCTCTCTCTCTCTCTTCGATCGGTCCCTCACTGCTGAGGATCGTGACTCCGTCCGATTCCGTCAACCAGCTGTCTCCATCGATCCCATTTCGCAGCTTGGTGGAGTGCGTCGCTGACAGGTAATAAATAAAATAAAAATAAAAAAAATAAAATAAAATTTGAAGGACATGTCGCCATGTCGTAGCCCTGGAAACAGTCGAATGGCGCGTGGCAGGTCTCGTCCTTGGGGTGAGCCGCGTCGTCTGGTTGTAGTGTTGACCGCTGTAACCCCCCTACCTTATCCGGGTTCTGGCCTCGGAGGGGATCGGACGTCGGGTGTAAGAGTGCAGAGGAGTCGTTTATTGGGTTGGCCCGCGGTCTGCTCATAACACCATGCAGATCGTTGAGTCTCACAAATCCCGTGCGCCCGTTATAAAAAAAAAGGTCTCTCCCTCTCTGGAAATGCACTGTAAACGAACGCAGTGGTTCAAGGTAGCATGGGTGAAGTCTGCTCCTGTAGCGAGCTGGGCGATGATAACGAGATAATGCGTTTAACTCAATCTTAGTTGTACAGTGCGACGGCTATCTCATACTTTGAGCCAGACACAAGACTCCTTCGTCTCCTACCGATAAAAATTTGAAAATACAACCAAACATAATTGAAAATAAACAATGAGCATTGATCTTTCTTTCTTTTCTTTGATTAAAGAACCACTTCGAGGAATAGGCTGGGTGATTACAAAAGAACAAATTTTCATTAAAAACTAATGTAAATTACCAACATGTTTTTTTTTAAAGAATTTTATGACCTGGCAACTAAGACATTTAGGTCATGTCTTATTTTAATTTATATTCTTATTTTTATGAAGAATGGAGTGAAATGAAATGAAGATGATTAATTTGAGACATGAATCAACTGAGATGAAATTAAATGAAATGAGATATGATATGGGATGAAATTTAATCTCAATAAAATGGTGGTCATTTACTGAGACTTTTTCAGTGGACTTTTTGGAGGATCCCGAGAAGTTACGTCCAGCGGTTTTGTTTTATTTTCCCACATTTTTGCACTTTCACAGATACTAAACAGTTAATAAGCCACCGTTATTACACATTTAAACCTGAAGAAACACTAAATAGACAAAATAAAACAAATCACACAACTTCACTCCTCGCGTTCCCGCCAAAAAGTCCCAGTTTCGTTATGATTTTATTGTTAACCTCAAAAAAGTTTAATACTAATTTCAATTGAAGGTAGGAAGGTCATCATCATCACTTGAACACATTTAAGACTTATCTATCAATACGATGCTCAATAATTCGAATATTTCGAAATAAAATCGAATATAATTATTTATGTATATCACAAATCGGTACCATGTAACAAGTAAAAAATATATTGAGGCAACGGCTCCATTATTACTGCTCCATCTTTACTGATAATTTCAACAACTTAAAATGCTACTTCATTTTCAATTGAATATTCAAAAATAACTACAATGAGTATTAAATAGATTAGGCATAATCAATAATTAATAATCTATATATATAAAAATGAATTGCTGTTCGTTAGTCTCGCTAAATTGGCTAATTTTGGTCTTGAATTACTTGTGGAAGTCCAGAGAAGGTTTAAAAAGTAGATAAATCTTCTATTTATCTTTTATTTATCAATTGAGGCACTACGAAGTCTGCCGGGTCAGCTATATGCAATAAAAAATTTAGATAGCGACTGTTTTTTTTTTAAAACTTCGCCAGCCCTCTGTTCTCTGTTTGTAAAACTATTTTTTAGGTACGTTTGGTACGTGTAATGGAACGGCTGGATCAGACACGCCCCGCATTTCAACAAAGTCGCAATCGTCATTTGACATTTAACTTTGAATACCTACTGTACTAATTAACGAACGAATTAATTAGCACATTGAACAAACAATAAAAAAATTTAAACGTAGCCTTAATTTAATGTATCGCTCGTGAAACAACCGAAGATAAAAACTATATTGCATTTTTTTTTCTTCGGAGGCAAGTATGAAACGAGTTGTAAGTTACTATGAAAGAATACCTTTTTTTTTTCGGGCCTGGGGCCGAACCTACTACGATGTCCCCGCGCCTAGGGGGCGCGCGGGGTATGTGAGGCTCAACGATCTGCATGGTGTTGTGAGCAGACCGCGGGCCCAAGGATTTTAGGGCCCACCCACTAAACGACTCCCCTGCACTCTTACACCCGACGTCCGATCTCCGTCCGGGGTCAAAACCCGGTCAGAGTAGGGGGGTTCCCGGGGTCAACACTACAATCAGACACGCGGCGCTACCCCGAGGACGCCCGACCGACGGGTCGTCGAGGCGATAGTCGACGACCAACTACGTCGGTCTCCGCGGTACGGCGGCCCTACCAGGCCGCCCAGGCGATGCAGCTGGTGTTCCGGGATACCCCGATGAAGGAATACCTATTTTAAGGTTGTATTTGGTATAACTAATGTGCGCCACACAAAAAGATAGCAGTTGCTATTACGTCAGTATATACAGAGCCATTGTGACGTAAGTTCAGTGAGTCAACTTCTGAATACAACCGGCACCAGTGTGCTTAGTGCGAGTTTTTTAACGTCTAGATCGCGTAAAAGTTAACTCAAATTTGCATGGAGTTGGAACAGCGCCCCTAGCGGCAAACGAAGGGAATCTGTTCCAACTCCATACAAATGTGAGTTAACTTTTACGCTATCGAGATGCTAAAAAACTCGCACTAAGCACACTGGTGCCGATTGTATTCGAAGCTAGAAACAAAAAAAACCTTACTAATTATATAGTCATTACGTACATACCTTAACATTATCAGCACTATTATTTTCTTGGTTTTCGCATCGATATTATACCACGGACATTTGTAAATTCCATCGCACACATCAGTGCTCTGCAATGTGTTGCAAATAAAAGTTAAGTTTTGATGTGAAACATCTATAGCCGCACGTAAAACCGATTTCTGGCATGGCGACGCATGCCGTGGCGACGCGTCGCCATGCGCAATCGACTGTGCGATTCTCTCCCACTCGATCCGGCGTTAAGCCATCTCTCTCGCTACACTGAGCTCGGATACCTATAGTGTATACTCCGTAGTGTATACAGTGTTGTTTACTACAGTACACATAACCTGTGTTTTACTTGAAAACAAATTATTTTTTCGTAATATTTTATTTNCTCTCGCTACACTGAGCTCGGATACCTATAGTGTATACTCCGTAGTGTATACAGTGTTGTTTACTACAGTACACATAACCTGTGTTTTACTTGAAAACAAATTATTTTTTCGTAATATTTTATTTTATCATTATGACATATTTAGTTCCTATCACAATCTGTTCTTTTCTGCATATTACTTTTACAAAATAATGTCGATCTTTCACATCTGACTGGCGTCCCGTGACGGCTCACATTTTTTTTAAACATTCACTTCCATTGGTGTCGTCGAATGAGATTTACAAGTTTAGCAAAATTGAAAAAAAAAAGTTCAAACACTCACAGATTTCATGATCATATCGCCGAAATAGCACAGTAGAGATATTTGAGAGAAACTCATCACGAGAAATGTGAAGAAAGCCAGTATTGTACTAATATCATCAGCCACCTGTATTCAAAGGTTTATATTTTATTACATTTTGAATTCAATAAAAAAATATCCAATGTTTTATCCTTAAAGCCGTGTTCTATCTATTCCAAGCAATTCTTGGACAGAATTTAATACATGGTCACAAAACAAAATGTATTCGCCTTTCAGAAGCTCTGTGTGCTTAGTCAGAGTTTTTTAACATTCTCGATAGCGTAAAAGTTAACTCAAATTTGTATGAAGTTGGAACGTTTGCCTACGTTTGCCGCTAGGGGCGCTACCTTTTAAGGCTGCAATACATGTTGGCCGAGCGTCGCCGAGTGAACGCCAATACCAACTAGTATATTTGCATTGTCTTGCCATCGCTCGGAGTCACTCGCCTAGTTGGCCGAACAGAGTCAAGCCCCAACATGTATAGAACTCATTTGGCGTAGCTTGTCACAGCTTTTGGCCTAAGCTCGACCAACATGTATTGCAGACTTTAGAATAAATTCATTCTTAATATTTTCGAATTCGTCTTTCCCAGAGTCTAATAAAGATTCCGGCGCCTTAGTTAAAATATCGAAGAGAGAAATCGACATAATTAATTCAGTGCCCCACGTAGGGCACCGGTGACCTACGCGGCAGTCAATGGGTTAAAAACAAGCGAGCGATTCCAAAATGAACGAGAAGTATTTATTCACTGTAATGCAACTATGAAGCTGCTTCAGATAAAACAATACATTCATTCGTATGAATTCATTAACTCGATCGAAATGTCAACAGTTCACGACATACAACATTCTAATTTAATCTAGAGATATCTGCGAATATTTTAGGGAAATATATTATTAAGGTTATTATTATTCGACACTTTAATTAAAGGGTTATTTTCTTTCTATTAATACTATTGTTATTGACAACAAGGATGTGTCACTACTACAAAACGTATAGATACTAACATCTTGTGTGATTCATCATTGAAATGGATGCTAAATAGAATACGTCCTTAAAACAATTTATAGAGTTAAATTTAGAAACGTACGCATGCAGTCTGTGTGCTTAGTGCGAGTTTTTTAACGTTCTCGATAACGTAAAAGTTAACTCAAATTTGTATGGAGTGGGAACGTTTGCGTACGTTTGCCGCTAGGGGCGCTGTTCCAACTGCATACAAAATTGGCTTAACTTTTACGCTATCGAGTACGTTAAAAAAATCGGACTAAGCACACTGGTCTCGTTAGTACTTAAGCCGTTTTCCGTTTAAGTGGAATAATCTTTGTTTTTTTGAAAATATCTTTTTTTTTTCTACCTANACTCAAATTTGTATGGAGTGGGAACGTTTGCGTACGTTTGCCGCTAGGGGCGCTGTTCCAACTGCATACAAAATTGGCTTAACTTTTACGCTATCGAGTACGTTAAAAAAATCGGACTAAGCACACTGGTCTCGTTAGTACTTAAGCCGTTTTCCGTTTAAGTGGAATAATCTTTGTTTTTTTGAAAATATCTTTTTTTTTTCTACCTATGCTGATAGCCTTGAGAGGCTATTTTAGCTTCTCCTTGACGTGTAGGTGACCAGGTAGGTTTAAGACATTCAGGTAAAAAAATTGCCATTCTTCTCTGCGTTAAGTACGTGCGCGACAAAATAGATGAATAATATCACAATAACTCAATATCACGCCAACCGATTTCGATGATAATTGTTTTTAGTGTATATTAATTTGTTTTGAAATATCTTATTTTTTCTCTATTTGAAGTCGGTTTTTGTTAAAGCATGTCTATTTACAATTATTATCGCACTAGATCTTAGATGATCTCAATGTTTTTATTGATAAGTGAGTGCTAAGAGTTAATGCGTGGTTGTCAATTTAACGACTCTTTTTTTCTCTACTTATTCTAGTAGCCTTGAGTGGTTAAACTAGATTCGCCGAACGTGTAGGTGAGGTCACGGGGCTCAAACCGAAGTGTTGCTAACACTGGCCCTAGCAAGAGTAGTGCTTCGCAGAATCTACCACCGTATCGAAACGCGACTCACTCAGAAGATCCGGCGAGAAACCCAGTGGGCTGTGTCTATGGGTTAGTTCACTCGTCGAGCCCTTCGTCTGGTGACGGGTTCGACGAGGACGCTGACCGGTGCTTGTGGTACCTAAAAGCACCGCTAATGGATCGGGAGGATCCGAATTGACGTGTAAGGAAATATCAAAAACATCATCCCATTACGCTATTTTGGGTACCTAACCTCATTAACATAGCTCTAAGAGTAGTTTTATTGAAATTATGGTTTCAAGTGTCAGTTTATGTGTCAAGTGGGTCCAATGACCGTCGTCTTCGTTAGATGAAGGTAAAACTTTAGAGGAATTCGTGAAACAGCTGCTCTCTTGGGGCGCTCGGGCAGCTGTTAGCGAATCCCTCTCCTCCTGGAGAAATCAGAAAGGCATCCAAGCTATCCTTCCTTTCTAAAAAAGAAAACTTCAAACTCACCGTGATATTGAATCCGCTGAGACATATCAACAAAGAACTCGTCACGATGTTAAATAGAGTGGACAGAGAATATAAAGACTGCGTTTTGTTGACCAACCTACAAAAATTTCAAGATACTAAATCAAAACCCTTCAAAATAAAAATGTTTTATTTTTGCGTTAATTATATTTTAGGATATTAGAATATGTCTGGGGTTTTGTGTGTTTTGTGTTTATGCCGTGTGTGCTTTGTTCATACATACAATTCTATGTCTATATATTATTATAATTTTTCCAAAAACCAATGACCCTGCCACAGCGCTCTCTTGGTTGACTTGTAGAGAAGGCCATAGATGCCTAAATCCGCCGCTGTAACTTTTTTTTGTTTTGACTCATAGAACTCAAGGTAATTAATGAAGCCAAAATAAAAGCTACAACTAGGTACTTGCTTTATCGCACCCTCGAATGGAATGGTACCTCTTAATTAGCCAATCTAAGCATAAATACTATGCAATAATACGCGAAATTAATCTTGGGCTAGTAAACAGCGCAATTAAAAGCCGCGAGGGCGGTAAATGATATTTATTTCCTTAGATTTGGGATGATTTAGTATTTTCCAACGACACGCTATTTGCTGTGTGGTTCAACCTGGTTACTAACACTAGCCCCAGCACGGGCGGAGCTTCGCTGATTCTACCACCGGAATCGCGACCCACTTAGAAGATATTATGGTTTTATAATTATTTATGTAACACTAGCTGAGCCGGCGGACTCCGTAGTGCCTCAATCGATAAATAAAACACCTAAACTATTGTATAAAATAAACTTAAAACAAACAAAAGGAATCCGTCCGACGGGGGACACACCAAAGGAAAAACAAAATTGTTATTTTTATTGAATTCCGAGGATTTTCATATTTATCTACCTTTTAAACCTTCTCTAGACTTCCACAAATAATTCAAGACCAAAATTAGCCAAATCGGTCCAGACGTTCTCGAGTTTTAGCGAGACTAACGAACAGCAAATCATTTTTATATAAATAGAAGATTACGCTCACACCGGCACGTTAGCATAAATATGTGTATAGTGCACATTCAAACACACCCATCACACGTCATTTCAGATCCTCTCGATCCATTAACGGTGCTTTTAGGTACCTCAAGCACCGGACATCGTTCTCGTCGAACCCGTCGCGTCGCTTGCAAAGGGCTCGGCGAGTAAATTAACCCACAGACACAGCTCATTGAGTATCTTGCCGGATCTTTTCAGTGGGTAGCGTGCTCTTGCTAGGGCTAGTCTTAACAATGTCCATAGGTTACAGCCCCGTGAGCTCACCTACTCGCTTGGTGAATTTAGTATGACCCTCGACATCACTAGAAAAGGTAGATAAAAAAACAGCCCCATTCATTTACTGGTGGTAGGACCTCTTGTGAGTCTGCACGGGTAGGTACCACCACCCTGCCTATTTCTGCCGTGAAGCAGCAATGCGTTTCGGTTTGAAAGGTGAAACTTATATCTCAAGGTGGATGGCGCATTTACGTTGTAGATGTCTATGGGCTCCAGTAACCACTTAACACCAGGTGGGCTGTGAGCTCGTCCACCCATCTAAGCAATAAAAAAAAAGCATACACATTACATTACATAGCACTGAGCAATAATACCAATAAAGCAAGTGACCTATGAACTAATCAAAAACTACCAATCGCAATTGTATGTAGTATAAAAACAGCATTAAAAAAACACACCCTTAAATAACAAACAGAACTAAAAGTTGATTTAATTTTTTTTTACTTTTCTTGAAGTCTGTGAAAATGACGTTTGTTACGCGGAGAAAGGTTTTGAAGTTTTAAAAAAAAAACCTAATTTTAATACAGACTGAATTTATTTATGCTTTACAATAATCCCATATTACACGAATCGAGTTAGGATGTTATATTATGTCGAACTGCCCGAGTTTTGAAAGAGAAGGAGAATATATACACGAATGGTATTTACCAAACAATTAGTGAACTAGTTATCCAGACTATGAACCTTATTCGTAATATATTAAGATTCTCGATACAAATCAACGAAATTGGTAAACGATGTAGTCAACAGGATATTACTAATGTGAGAAGAATAAATACACATTAACGAATGTTCTAATCACAAATGAAGATTTGATTTAAAATAAACAATATACAAATGATTTAGTAACATAAGGAAGTTAGAAGGAAGATATTATATTATATATTAGCAATGATTGAGAACGAAGAGTTTTTTTTTATTGCTAGATGGGTGGACGAGCTCACAGCCCACCTGGTGTTAAGTGGTTACTGGAGCCCATAAACATCTACGACGCAAATGCGCCACCCACCTTGAGATATAAGTTCTAAGGTCTCAAGTATAGTTACAACGGCTGCCCCACCCTTCAAACCGAAACGCATTACTGCTTCACGGCAGAAATAGGCAGGGCCGTGGTACCTACCCGCACGAACTCGCAAGAGGTCCTATCACCAGTAATTACGCAAATTATAATTTTGCGGGTTTCATTTTTATTACACGATGTTATTCCTTCACCGTGGAAGTCAATCGTGAACGTTTGTCGAGTACGTGTTTCATTAGAAAAATTGGTACCCGCCTGAGATTCGAACACCGGTGCATCGCTCAACACGAATGCACCGGACGTCTTATCCCTTAGGCCACGACGACTTCAAAAGTATTACGAAAGCTAAGAAAACTGAGCGTACATTATGCGTTTATAAAAAAAATCCCGCGGAGTCCCATCCCGGACCGAATCGCTATAGCCTTTAACACCAAAACAATTTTACTTACTCGATTAATTCCTGGTGCCTTTTAATCAGTACTATTATCTCGTTAATCGTTCTGTCGTTGCGTTTGATTTCTAAATGCTCGAATTTGTAACTCAATAGCCTGAAATTCATTCCGATGTAGCTGCACAAAGCATAAAATAAAGTATCCACGCCAAATATGTTCGTGCAGACAATTATAGCTGTAAAAATATATATATATAAACACTAAAACCCAGTAACTAAAAATATCTTTATTATTATCTGACCCAAATTTCGGCCGTGGTACATGTCTCCCAGTAAATAGACAAAAACATCCAAAAGCTGCACGCTGGATGCTACCACTAGTAAAAGGCAGCTTTACACAAGCCTCGTTTGAAGAAGGACATGTCATAGCGCTCGGCAAACACCGTGGAGGGGAGGAGCTCATTCCAAAGGCGAAAGGTACGTGGCACATTTTTTTTTTTATTGCATAGATGTGTGGACGAGCTCACAGCCCACCTGATGTTAAGTGGTTACTGGAGCCCATAGACATCCACAACGTAAATGCGCCACCCACCTTGAGATATAAGTTCTAAGGTCTCAGTATAGGTTACAACGGTTGCCCCACTCTTCAAACTGAAACGCATTTCTGCTTCACGGCAGAAATAGGCAGGGCTGTGGTACCCACCGTGGACCCCGCGTGGACTCACAAGAGGTCCTACCACCAGCAATTACGCAAATTATAATTTTGCGGGTTTCATTTTTATTACACGATGTTATTCCTTCACCGTGGAAGTCAATCGTGAACATTTGTTGAGTACGTATTTCATTAGAAAAATTTATACCCGCCTGAGATTCGAACACCGGTGCATCGCTCAACACGAATACATCGGACGTCTTATCCGTTAGGCCACGACGACTTCAAATTGTTACCAAATTGTTACCAATTGAATTGTTACCAACAAGCCTCTGACTATTGGAACTTCTTTGTTACATTTTGTAACGATATCCTTTCGGTTGGGCTCACTGCTCGGATATCAACTTTAATCGAATAAAGACACAATTGCAAGAGATAAGTANATCGCTCAACACGAATACATCGGACGTCTTATCCGTTAGGCCACGACGACTTCAAATTGTTACCAAATTGTTACCAATTGAATTGTTACCAACAAGCCTCTGACTATTGGAACTTCTTTGTTACATTTTGTAACGATATCCTTTCGGTTGGGCTCACTGCTCGGATATCAACTTTAATCGAATAAAGACACAATTGCAAGAGATAAGTAAAACTCACTCGCCCAAAATTGGTTGATATAGACAATAACCCAAAACGATGTGTTGTACACGTCAAAAGGGTATTTGACGGCGAACGGGTACAAAACCACAAATTTTCCCGTTTCCATGAATTCACCGGCCATCCCGAACAGGGGCATCGTGCAAAAAGTCATCGTGACCACAAAACTCACAGTCGAAAGCAGAAAATTCACGGATTTCAACAATTCATTCGCTTCGTTCACTATTCCTACTTCAGTTACGTCATTATCGTATACCGTTTCTTTTTTATCATTAAGACATTGATCATTGTCATTAGCAGATTCTTCGATCTCATCAGGGTAAGTCTCTCTTAATTTATCGACTACGTCTAACAACGATTCTTTGTTGTGATACAAATAGTGTACTTTTGCTGTGGCTAATACACTTATGGTAAGGCATGGCACGATCAGCGATAATTCCACGAAACTTTTGCCAGTTATTGTGCCGTCGATCAACCAATACATTTCACCTATCAAAACGAAGTATAAGCCAACGATGTTTAGGTAATATGCAATTGAATCCACAAATGTTCGCGTCCAATGGTTCCATTCTTCCAAGAATATGTTTATTCCGGATAGAAACAACGCGGTTTTAGTTAACTTTATCGTCTTTTCGAATTCCGTTTTTGCTCTCATTTCGATTCGTCCGGTTCGATTCACGAGTGGCAAGCGAATGTGTCTAGAAACTTTAGAAAATTAATTACAAACGAGAGTACATCAAAGAGATTTTGATATTTACTTGTCGGTCTTTAATTAGACAAGTTTAGTTTTTCGGGTATAGAACTTTTTTTTTTTTTTTTGGAAACGCTTTGTACTCAATTCTTGGTAACGTGCCCTGTAATGAGATTGAAGTCCTCGTATTGTAATCGAGAATATTTAAATGGAACAATGACAATTAACTTAACCGACCACATTTAAAAGCGGGATATTATATTCGTAACTTAGGAGAGTTTTTAAGGAAACGAACTATAATAGTCATTGGCTTTTTTTTCTATTTTTTTATTGAAAAACCATTTTGAACGAAACTTCTAGCTGTTTACAGAAGAAAAGTAATTTTTATTAAAATAATAAAAAATATTAAATTACCAATAGTTTTAGGCAAATATGTTTGGCCTTTGTTTGTCCTCACGTCATCATTGGCTTTATTTACAGCGATATTGTTATGATTTTATTGATAGCCTCAACTCAACGCAGGAAGTTAATTTAGAGGTTTCAATCAATGAGATGTTTAATAATTCGAATATGTTTTCTGATATATTGTACTTAGAGCGTAGAAAAAATAGAAATAATATATTAAAGGAACGGCGAAATTAATACAAGGATGAAAGGATCACATATGTCACATGTAAATCTTTTTTTTTTCCTGCCTAAGCTACTTGAGAGGCTACTTCAGCGGAACCTTAACTAGTAGGTGAGCTCACGGGGCTCAAACCTGACGACATTGCTAACACGAACCCTAGCAAGAGCCGTGCTTCGCAGAATCTACCACTGGATCGGTAACGCGAACCACTGAGAAGATCCGGCGAGAAACTCAGTCTGAGGGAATCTTTTTTGAGGCAACCGCTCCTATTTATATATGCCATCGATGATGTCAACACCTTCAAAAGCGATGACATTTTGATTTAATTTGCATAAATCAACTTTAACAGTGAATATTTAAAAAAATATTAAAATTAATTACCTACTTAGACACATCATATATTTTCCTAACAAAATAATAATTAAAATCACTGTTAATTAATTATTAATCAATACCAGTTAAATGCGTCTTAACGCTACGTGTTTGTGATATGTTACTCTAATTTGGTATTTATATGAATTTTTTTTAAATGTGGTATTAAAATTAAATATTTAAATATCTTAGTAGCGCGCATTTTGTTTATATCAAACGATAAAAATCCCTCGCGTGTTATTTCTAGTGAAAAAATTATAGAAGATATTATGGTTCAAAAGGTGGATACAGGTTTGACTCATCAGTATTCAATTTTTTTCAAATTTCTTTAGAATTCCAGAAATGTTTTTTGTTATATGATGAAACAGTCACAAAAATCTTGTACTAGACAATTTTTAATACAAAATTGTTTATTCACCGCCATTTTGTTTTGCAAAGATTTAATTATGCAGACACATTTATTATTAGGACTGCATTAAAATCGAATATCAAAAAAAGTTTCACGAAAACAAAAACTAATTTAAACACACGGAAACAATACTATCGTAACAAAAGTATATATGGAACTATAAAATTTATGTAATTGCTGGTCCGAAGTTTAAATAACATACCGTTTCTTAGGTCGAACTCAAAAATATCAATGACAATAGTAAAAACGACCTAAATCACAATAAAATTGCAACGACAGAACGACTTAAGTCTCACAAAAAAATAATAGCCAACAAGACCTTTTGATAATCTACTCGAAGGGGCTTCGTTTGAAGCAAAAACGTTACAATCCCTTTTGATCCGTCCGAAGACCTTCGGTTTTCACGAAATGCAGACAAAAAATATAATTTCTAGCCGTTTCTATTATTTCGGCGGGGCTTTTATTTACGCTGAGCGGTCTTGCGCGACAAACTATTAAAAAAAATGTTACCAACAATGGGGTGGGTTCTGTAGGAAAAAGAAATATATTTTCGACTCTGTGCAACCACATCATCAAACTCTTTTTACCCTATCTAATCGTTGGTAGCCAGTATTCCCACTACCCGAGGACTGGTAGGTGAGCTCACGGGCTCAACCTGAGAGAGTTTGCCAACACTAGCCCTAGCAAGAGCAGTGCTTCACTGGATCTTTCCGGTTATCGTTCTCATCTAACCCGTCGCTTGCGACGAAGGGCTCGGCGAGTAAATTAATCCACTGACACAGCCCACTGAGTTTCTCGCCGGATCTTCTCAGTGGGTGGGTCGCTTTTCCGAACCGGTGGTAGTTTCTGTGAAGCACTGCTCTTGCTAGGGTTAGCGTTAGCAACGTTGTCAGGTTTGAGCCCTGTAAGCTCACCTACTCGTTCTGAGAATCTAGCATAACCTCTAGAGGTTACTAGAATAGGTAGTAAGAAAAAGCTGAATCTCTAACGGGATCGGAATCGCGTCCCGACAAGATTCGACGAGAAACTCAGTAGGTTGTGTCCATGGGCCAGGTTGCATGACCCATTCTACAAGTTCGATGCAAAAAAACTCACATAACACCGAACGTGTCCCAAAACGGGAAAATACTTGTTATGTAATACCTACATGATAATGGTATATAGTTAGTTAAAATTAGCACCAATAACAGTTACTGTTTTTCCGGTTACGGCAATCGGTTTTTTGTAATGTCATTATTGTCAGCGTCTATTGTAGCTAACTCTTAAAACATTTACAACATACACAAGCAACAAAATACTTAAAACATACACAAGTACTATATGTAAAAGGAATTAAGGTGGATTCAAATAAAAATTAAAGACAAAATTGTCGCTGCAAAATGGCGCTATAGATTTAAAACCGCGAGACCGATTTCAATGAGGTTTTCAAGAAATCTACAAATTGGCCTTTTTTTCGGGCATGGGGCCGATCTTCGTGCGAGGTGTCCGTAGCCTAAGGGGCGAGCGTGGTTAGAGGGACTTAAAAGTTTGCAGATCTTGGGAACAGACTGCGGACCCAAGGATGTTTTTAAGGCCCTACCCACCAAACGATTTCCCTTACACTCTCTTACCCGACGTCCGATCTCCGCCCGGGGTCATCGAATTGGCCTAGTAGATGACCCTGTGAAGTATCATAGCGACCGACTCATACTCAAATCCAAGATCGCCTTTTCGCGGGCTGGGTTTGACTAGTAGATATCAATTAAAATGTCCTTCGTTAAGAACAATGTTCAAGTAAACGACACTTTTAAGTCTTCTCTTCGAAGCTTTAACGGACAAACATGACACAATTACTGGTGATCCAATACACAATATCACAATTACAATCACCTCTTGTGAGTCCGTACGGGTACGTACCACCACCCTGTCTATTTATGCCGTGAAGCAATGAGTTTCAGTTTGAAGGGTGGGGCAGCCGCTGTAACTATACTGAGACCTTAGAACTTATATCTCAAGGTAGATGGCGCATTTACGTTGTAGATATTTATGGGCCCCAGTAACCACTTAAAAACCAGGTGGGCTGTGAGCTCGTCGACTCATCTAAGAAATAACAAAAAAATTAAAGGTCTTTACAATATTTGGATGCGTTTCTTAGTTAGCAAACCTTCATCTCTTAATGCGCCACGCACCTTGAGATATAAGTTCTAAGGTATGTAGTTACAACGGCTGCCCCACCCTTCAAACGTCAACGTCACGAGTCAACATACGCAGACTTTTCGTAACAAATGCTCGTTTGAAACCGGCCGAACACGTGCGCGAGAGCCCCCAGTGAAAGTGCAGATGATGATTACTACTCAGATAACCGAGAGGCCGGTCCGCTTAAAGTTTTAACGTCGCCGATACGATTCACAATGCAAATGATCCGTTAAAAACTCGACAGACCCGTGCGTTGCCGTAGATTCGGATTCTTTCGGAGTTCGTATTAGCCCTTAGCGAGATGGAGTATCACAAAGCTTGAAGTCGTCGTGGCCTAAAGGATAAAATGTCCGGTGCATTCGTATCTAACGATGTGTTCGAATCCCGCCGGCGGCTAAAAAGTTTTCTAATGAAATACGTACTTAGCAAATGTTCACGATTGACTTCCACGGTGAAGGAATAACATCGTGTGATAAAAATCAAACCAGCAAAATTATAATTTGCGTAATTACTGGTGGTAGCACCTCTTGTGAGCCCGCACGGATAGGTATTACCACCCCGCCTGTTTATGCCGTGAAGCAGTAATGCGTTTCGGCTTGAAGGGTGGGGCAGCCGTTGTAACTATACTGATACCTTAGAAGTTATATCTCAAGGTGGGTGGCGAATTTACGTTGTACAAGTCTATGGGCTCCAGATTTATTATGTGTGTGTAAGTATATTAGTATGTATTGTATGTAAGTATGTATATTGGTATATATTATATTATGTAAACGGTATATATCTGTTTATTATATGTATATATTTTCTATAATAATGTATTGTATATGGTACACCGCAACATACCTGCTATATTTTTTTATATTTTACAGAATTTCTGTAAATTAAACGGTTGTCTGGAAGAGATCGCTTTTAGCGATAAGACCGCCTATTGTACATATGTGCTTTTTGACTGTTTTTTTTTTTAAAATGTAAATTGTGTTGGTGTGCAATAAAGTGTATTCTCTCTCTCTCTCTCTCTAATCACTTAACACCAGGTGGGCTGTGAGCTCGTCCAACCATCTAAGCAATAAAAAAATAAAAAAGCGATTGCTACAGCGCATTCTCCGACTTTAGAGAGTCCAAACAATACGAATTACCTTGAATCTCCGAAATCGGCAAAACAGTGGTATGTATTAGTACGAGAGATTGTATTTCCAATAAAAATAATCGGAATTATTTACTGAGAAATAAATGAAAATAAATTTATCCATCAGTGTGCTTAGTACGACTTTTTTAACGTTCTCGATAGCGTAAAAGTTAACGTAAATTTGTATAGAGTTGGAATGTTTGCCTACGTTGCCGCTAGGGGCGCTGTTCCAACTGCATACAAATTTTAGTTAACTTTTACGCTATCGAGAACGTTAAAAAACTCGCAATAAACACATAGAAACGGCGTGATAGAAGACTGACGGACGAAACTAATCAACATTATTACGAAATTTCATGAATCAAAATTATATAGCCTGCTTTTTATT